AGAACATAAGTAATGTAGATTTGGTAAGCATTGGCAAACAATAAATCATAATTGAAACTATGGAATGGAATGAGATTTAGTAAGAATACACAGAATAAAGAGAGAAGACCCAAGACTGAGCCCTGAGGAATGTAAAACTTTAAAGCTCTGTGAGAAGAGGAGGAACCAGCAAAACAGGATGAGAAGGAGCAGCCAGAGTGCCAGGAGAGGTTTCAGAGAGTATGGGGCTCCAGAAGTCAAGGGGAGAGAGTATAGCTAAAAGAAGGGAGAATATCAGCAATGTAAATGCTGTAGAGTGGTCAAGAAGGAGGACTAAGAGTGTCCATTGGGTTTAGTCCCATGGAGGTCATGGGTAACTTTGCAGTGAACAGCTTCAGTGTAGTGGAGGGGGTAAAACTAGTTTGGTGGGGGTTAAAGAGTGCTTGCAGGGTGATTATAGAGAGAGTCATGACTGACTATGACTTCAACACATTACTGCTCCTTTATCCTGCTTATGCTTCTTCATAGGGTTGATAAACACTAAACTTGGTCATTGAAGAAAACATTGACATTGTCAGAACGTCTTGCAAAAGTAGGTCTTGTCCATCTGCCCCAAAGGAGGCAGGAGTGTCCAGTGGAGGAACACAGATTAAATGCTAAACATCCTAGGACCAAATCTGTACACAGTTACTTAGAGCTGTGGGATGCAGTGTATGTCTAATACTCCCTCTCAGCCCTTGTTTTCCTGTTTATATGTTGTTTCACCACCAGAGTGGTTAGGGTGAAATGAGATAATGAATTACAAGAGTAGCACATTGCCAGGCTCATCATCAGTGGTCAATAAGTTCATTCCTTGCAGCCCAATATAGAAAAGTACAAGACACTGCAGAGAAGCTCCATGCTCTCTGGTTCTCAGAATTTTTAGAGTATTGTTCAAATAGGAAACATGTATGACTTTTGCTCCTTGACTGTAAAGTAACCAGCTGTGCAACACAGCAGGTCACCGGGTATGATCTAGGCTGGCAGTGAAATAGGAAACTGGTGAATGCAGGTGGAAAACAGAAGAGGCCTATCTACATTCCACTATGAGAGGAGCAAGTGGGTCAAGGGAAAGGGAGAAGTGTGGGGAAAAGAAGTAATATAAGTTATGTTTTAAAAAACTGTGTACAGAATCAACATTCCCTCATGGAAAAACAGGAGAGCTAAAGGCAATGTTTTGATAAAAAGACATGACTTAATACAAAGAAGAGTTTTTGCTAGTAATTCTACCCAGTAAGATGTAAAATTTATCAACCCACAAAGTTGACTTTTCCAAATACCTAAGTGTACCTAAGCGAGAACATTTAATTCAGTCTTTCTTATCTTGAACAACTTTTTAAGATATATTTCAATATTTATTCAGTTTCACCCAATGATGCGTAAATACTCCATTTATAATTCTGTGGTTAATATTACTGAGGTTAGGAAACAGATCTGAGGACCTAAAATACCAAAATTTACCCAAAAGTCTAAGTACCTATAACATGGGAAAGAGATAAAAATCTTCCTAGAGATGGCACCTATCTTATCTTTGTGGGTACCTAATAAGAATGCTTGACTCCACTAAACTCCACAGCATTTTACTGAGGGTCCACAGCAACCAAATCATTACTGGGGTTGAGAAAATCCAATGCAGTTCTTGGCCTGTGATAGGTCTTAAATATTTGTTAATTAATAAAGTAATTATGCTGAGAAAAACAGTAGTTGCCTGGATCAGCACTCTTATTTTTATTTTGTGTAATCACAACTTACGATTTTGAAAATTTATACCTGGCATTTCATATTTCCACGGGGTAGAACTTAAAATATTATCTCACCTCTACCATTGTTCTCCATTGCTGCCCTCTTTCTAAAAGAGGGTTTCATTTTCATACAGTGTTAGCAGGAATAAAAAATGAGTATAAACTCTTTGGAGGTTGTTAATTTGGAATTTTCTCAATTCTATTAATTTTATATTAAAAAGTAGTCTTAACTAACCAATTCTACTCCTAGAAATTTATACTCACACGAAGTTGAATGGACAAGGATTGTTTGTAAACTGAAAAATGGCAATAACTTAAATGTCTATAGGGTTACATGATGATGCATCCAACTAATGGAATACTCTGAAGCCTTTGAAAAGAATGAGGTAGAGTTTAAGTGTTGCCACAGAAAGACCATCAAGGAATAGTAAGTGAAAAGAGAAAGACTGCATAATAATACTAGTGACAATAATTATAATAAACACTCATATTTACTATGTTCTAAGCACTTCATATTCATTAACTCATTTAATTCTCATCGTAACTCTATGAGGTGGGTACTATTGTCATCCTCATTTTACAGGTGAGGAAATTGCAGCACAGTGATGTCTAGTAATTTGCCCAAGGTCACAAAACTACTAAGTGTCAGTGGCAGTGTGTGGCTTGAGGATTAGTGTTCTTTTCTGGTTCTATTCCAGATAGGTTTTTGAAAATGTGTAAAAATGTGTATATATGTATATATTTGCTTTTTATTATGAGGGGCATTGTTACTTCTATAATAATAATTTTTTCTACAAGGATGTTTCTTAAAATACTGTTTTATTTTTCCTTTTGAAGTTAACAGTCGAGGAAGAGTTTTAATCATTTTCCTTGTTTCCACTGATTCAATCGACTAAAATATCTAAACTGTGTTAGGCATCCTTGCCTGCCTCTGTCCTCAAGAAGCAACTGTCTAGTGGAAGAGAGTGATATGTAAACAAGTAATGCAAAGCCCCTTTGCTATGGTCTGTATGTGTCCTCCAAAATTCATATGTGAAAATTAATCACCAATGTGATATTATTAAGAGGCAGGGCCTTTAGGAGGTGACTAAGTCATGAGGGCTCTGCCTTTGTGAGTAGGATTCATGCCTTATGTAAGAGGCTTCACACAGTGTTTGTCCCTTTCTGACCTTCTGTCCCTTCTGCCATGTGAGGACATGGTGTTCTTCCCCTTCAGAGGATGCAGTGGTTAAGGTGGCACCTTGATCTTGGACTTCTGTCTCCAGAAGTGTGAGAAAACAAAGTTCTATTTTTTATATGTTATCCAGTCTCAGGTATTTTGTTATAGCAGCAGGAGCAGATGGATAGTCTATAAAGGGGGTATAAAAAGATGTGGTAGGAGAGGTGCAAAGGAGAGAGATCAATTATGTAGAGGGAAGCGGGGGTCAGTGTGAAGGAAGGCTGCCCAGAGGAGAGGTAATGTTCTGCCAAAATACGGAAGGAAATGTAAGAGTTTTTCAGGAGCTAGGTGAGAGGAGGAAGAGAAGAAGCAGTCCAGATGGAGGGAATAATGAGAGTAAAGACACAGAAGCCTGAACCCATGTTGCTGATTTATCTGCACCTTAGGGGAGGGAAATGTGAATAGTGCCTCTGGAGATGTGGGTAGGAACCACATTATCTAGCACCTTAGGCTACGTTAAGAACCTCATCCTGTGTGCCAGTTTTTTAAGAAACATTTGAAGAACATAGGTGTTCTCAAGTAACTCAAAAGATATAAACCAATTATACACATATAATTGAATATTATTCAGCCTTAAAAAGGGAGGACATTCTAACATATGCTACATTGTGGCTGAATGCTGAAGACGCTATGTTAATGAAGTAAGTTCATCACAAAAGGACAAATACATGAGTCCACTCATATGAGGTACCTAGAGTAGTCAAATTCACAGAGACAGAAAGTAGAACACTCGTTAATAGCAGAGACGGAAGGAAGTAGGGAAACAGGGAGTGATTGTTTAAAGGGGAAAGAGTTTCACTTTGGGATGGTGAAAAAGTTCTAAAGATGGATTAGTGATGATGGTTGCAAAACGATGTGAATGCAGTTAATGCCATTCAATCGTATACTCGAAAAGGGTTAAAATGATAAATGTTATGTCATGTATATTTTGCCACAATTTATTTACTGATTTCTTTAAGATGGTCTTGTGCTGTTGCCCAGGTTGGAGTGCAGTAGCATGATCATAGCTCACTGCAGCCTCGACTTCCTGGGCTCAAGCCATCCTCCCACCTCAGCCTCCTGAGTAGCTGCAACCACAGGGGTGCACCACCACATCTGGCTAACTTTTTTTATTTTCTTGTAGAGACAGGGTCTCACTATGTTGCCCAGGAAGGTCTCAAACTCCTGGGCTCAGGCATTCCATCTGCTTTGACCTCCCAAAGTGCTGGTATTACAGGTGTGAACCACTATACCTGGTTTACCAAACTGTAAAAATAAAAAAAATAAAAAAAGAAGAAATTTAAAAAGATACAGACCAAGCACTTAGAAAAATAATTCAAAGTTCTTCTTAGTTAATCTATTAAAGTTCAATATGTAATTTCTTTGCTTAAACTGATCATAATGATTTGCTTCTGTTATACAATAATGACTACCATTTACCGAAAACTAGCTCTTTGCTAGCTATACATCTACAGAGATCAGGTTTAAGGAGGTCATCTAATTGGTCCAAGACACACAATAAGGAGTGTGTGTGTGTGGGTCGTCATTTCTAGGACTCCTACAATTGGAAATCAAGTCTTTTAGGCTCCAAACACCTTGTGCTTTCACCAATCTCCAAGCTGCGTATCTTGCTACTTTTTGGGATATGTCAACATTTTTCTTAAAACAACAAACAAACAAAACTTCTCGATCTGAAAAGAAAGTATTGTTTGGTGTTCTCTGGGTTCAGAAAATGTAAGAAGCCAGAGGCGCTGCAGAATGAAATTTTCGTTGAGTGTTTACTATTGATCCACATCTGATACTTTTGAAGGGTTTTGGCCCCCTGCAAGAGAGACTAAAAGAGCATTCAAAATTAGTCTAGACACAATGTACTGTAACTACTTGGCCGGCCACCTGTAACAGAGGGGAGGAGGGTCTGCACTTATGTTGCGGCGGTTATCCGAAGAATACGGCCTTCCAGCTCCTCCGCCACCAGACTCCCCCCGCCCCAGGTACTCATCCCTCGGGGAGACCCGGCGCGTGCTCGTGCGCAGGCGCAGAGCGACTGTCACCCAGCGTCTGTGGTTTGCCGCCCGGCGCTCGGGTGTCCCGATGTAGTTCCCCTGGGTTCTCTTTGTCCGCCTCGGGCAGGGGGGTCGCCGCTGCCCCTTCTCCAGGCCCTCTCTAACCCCTGCCCAGGCTAAGCTCGGCGCGCCCCTACCCTCTGACCCCGCGTTGCACAATGCCCGAGCAAAGTCTCCAGGGGTGTGAACCCCGGCGTCCCTGCCCCTGGGCGGGGACGGGCGGCAGCCAAGCGGGGAGTCGAGGCGGCGAGCGTGCAGCTGGCCTAGTCTGCGGTCTCCGACTCCTCGAGTCACCTGGGAACCGCCGCTGCAAGCCCCCGCGCCGCTAGGCCCAGCAGCCAGGCCCACGCCGCTGCGGCAGCCATGGCGGAAGTTCATAGACGTCAGCATGCTCGGGTTAAAGGAGAAGCCCCCGCGAAATCCTCCACACTCCGAGATGAGGAGGAGATGGGGATGGCGTCGGCCGAAACGCTGACCGTGTTTCTGAAGCTGCTGGCCGCCGGCTTTTACGGCGTGAGCTCCTTCTTGATCGTGGTGGTGAATAAGAGCGTGCTCACCAATTACAGGTAGGGCCGAGGCGGCGGCGGCGGCGGCCGCGGAGGAGGAGCGGGCGGCGGCGGCGGCGGCGGCGGGGCGCCGGCTCCCTGGACTTTGACTGCCAAAGTTAAAGCCGAACAAAGTTGGGCGGGAGCTGGGGAGGGCGGGCGGCTGACGCGCGCGGCCCGGGCGGCGGAGCGGCTTGGCGCGGGGGCCTGGGGCAGGGGTCCGCTCTCTGCGCGGAGCTCTGGCCGGCCCGGCACGTTTGGGGCTCGCCTGCCATGCCCTCGGTGCACCGCCCCGAAAACCCTGCCCTTCAGAGAGATGGAGCAAAGAGACTCTTTTGGTGACTTTTGAGCCCTTATGCCTGTCGATCAGGGAGGAGAGCGAGGGAAGCCTCCTCCTCCGCAGCCTGGACAGGGAGCCGGGGCTTCAGTGTCCCCTGCTCCCTCTGACAGCCTCTGGGGACGTGCGCATCCTCACCCTGGCGGACAGTTATTCCTTTGCTAACACTGGGACCCCGAGGCAGAAGTTGGTTTTTGTTTTTTTTTTAAAGGTATGTGAAACCGTTGGAGAGATCTATATCTTCACTGCCTTGAGAAATCCTTTGCAGGCAGCGGGCTGAAATGGTAGACTCGGACAAGATGAGACAAGCGGCCGCCCGAGGCTACATCAGCGGGGTGGCCTGACAACCAACAGGCAGGGAGTTTTCTCCCAAGATTTTTGTTTGATTTAGGGGCGGACGTTGGTGTGGCTTGTATCAGAATGCCTCATTAACGTTGCCGATGTGCAAATTGAATTCACGGAGCTAAGTCAGGTTTGTTCTGACCTTGTTTTTCCTTTGCCTTTTTTTGTAGATTTCCCTCCTCACTATGTGTTGGACTTGGCCAGGTTAGTTAGAATCCTCACCATTACGTGGTTTATGTTGTTAGAACTTCTGTGTGTGTCTTTATGTGTAGAACAGTGAATCTGTGTTCTCTGTTTACAGATGGTGGCCACAGTGGCAGTTCTCTGGGTGGGAAAGGCGCTCAGAGTAGTCAAGTTTCCTGACCTTGACAGAAATGTACCTCGAAAGGTAAAAGAAGAAAAGCAATACTTTATTTTGTGAAATGAAGTCACTATGTATTAATATATTTTATCAGTGCCTTGCGTATTTAAAAACTGCAGCCTCAAAAATGCCCAGTCTAGAGTGTTTATAATGAATGTAAAGAATAAATGTAGTAATATGTGTCAAAGAAGGCCTACAATCTCTTTAAACTTAAGAGAAAAAATAACCTAGCAATAGTCTTTTGTTTTTAATTAATGAACACTTGTTGAAAGTACAACAGTTTTTTGCAGTTTCTGTATCCATCTAATCTAGCCCATGCATCCTGCATTCATCATTCTTTGGGTTTATTTTATATTCTTCTGTCTGCCTCTGCTTGACTCCAAATGACGATGAATTGCCTTTACTTTTTCTGCTGACTTTAGAGCCATGGGCTCTAATACATGATCATATTTTACAGCAAATAATGTTTCTGTCTCACATTGATCATATTCATATTTCTGTCTTTTCTCCCTGCCTTCCTTTCTTTCTGCCATAGTAATGTTGTTTATCCAAGGAGAAGTGTTGTTTGGGTGTTTGGGGGTCAAAATTGTGTATGAGAACTAATCTTATGTTTTAAGTGGAAAAAATTTTGATCAAATAAAATTGTTTCTGTTTGAAAGGACCTTGTTTTAGCTATCTTTATTATTGAGTTTTGTTATCCCTTTTTAAATTTTCTAGACGTTTCCACTACCTCTACTATATTTTGGGAACCAAATCACGGGACTGTTCAGCACAAAGAAACTGAAGTATGGATAACTTTATTTTACTAGTGAGGTTAATATAATGTATTCTTAAAATTGTACTTGAATGTCGAATATTTAACACATTGTTATTGATTCTGGAAAAAAATGAAAGGACCAGAAAGCTTCTATTACTACTAAATAATGAAGGTGGTGCCAAAGGTTTTAGTTGATGCTGTTTTCTTTGGAGAGAAAAGGAGTTTTTTGTTTTTGTTTTTTTACCCCTCATTTTGATGTCAGAAGTCTTAAAATGTTATAAAATGCTATGATAGGAGATTTTTATTATTTTTCTAGAGCCACAATAGTGAAGATAATATACTAGGCTTCCGGGATTTCAGTTCTTTAATATAGCTCTTAAATATTTTAGGCAACTTCCACACAGCAGTATTAGAGGGTAGGCACAAGAACTTTTGCAGTCTTTCTTTTAACGTGAAGTAAAGTAACATCAGATAGAACCCTGATAAAAATATTATTAATATCTTACCCATGGCATATAACTGTAGAGGCAACATACTTACTTTCAGAAAGAAGTAATAGCTCTCCTCTCCGTAGTAACACTATCTTTCCCTCTAACCTCCCAGTTTCTGGCTTCTGCTCTTATTGTAGTGTACATATCGGGTGTGTGTGGTATTAAAACGACACAAATAGAGAAACCATTGAACAGAAACCCAATGGCTTCACCACTACCACACAAGCTAAAACTCTGGCATTATAAAATAGAATGGACAGATTTCTGAGGATCAGGGACAAGGTGTTTTTCATTTCTTCCTTTAAAACCTAAGAAACCTGACAGAATGACCAGGATGATATCTCTGAAGAGGGTGCCAAGGAAGTCACATTTATCATGGGTGGGACATTCTTTTCCATTTCATTACCCACTGGGAAAGAAATGCAGGCCTTCTGCAAAGTGCTGCTTGTATAGAGTTTGCTTTTTTTCATCCATCTCATCCAACCATTCATTCACACCTATCTTTGATTGCCAGCTAAGTATAATTCACTTTGGAGTGAGATAAGATATATTCAGAAATAACTATATTGCAAGAGGCTATATGTTTGATTAGTACAAGCAAAATGCTCTGGGAATTTAGATGAAGACAAAATTACATCCATAAAAGGACAGTCAAGGCATTTCATGGAATAAGATTTTCATAGATAGTTTTTGGGAGGTCTAGTGGGTGGGAAGGGAGGTCAGACTAGTGAAAAAATGAGAAGGAAGCCTTTTTCTATTAAAAACTAACATGTTTACAGCTTAGAGTATTTGCATAATTAGCAGAATAAAGTTTTGTAGTTAATGTTTCTCACTTCTAGTAGTTTTTTTAAAGCAGCTCTTTTAGGCTTTCAAGTAGGAATTGTTTCTAGAGAAAAGCAAGGGTTTAACCATAAATTAATCAGTATGGAATTTCCATAATGGAAGAATAGCATTATTTTAACTACCAGTTTGGAAAATCTTAGTTTAAAAAAAAATGTTAAATTCTATTTTACCTAATTATCTTTTTCTTTTTCAGCTTGCCAATGTTTACAGTTCTGAGAAGGTTCTCCATCCTGTTTACAATGTTTGCTGAAGGAGTTTTACTCAAGTGAGCTAAGTTTTTAATATATCTGTTCTTTAAATCACCTTGAAAAGGTGCCTAGCATATGTGAGATATTAAATTATTTGTCTTGTTCCTACCTTACCTTTTGAGAAGTTGAAGAAACCCTCTCTCGGCTGCTGGAATTGATAGTTTGTGGGAGTGGTAGTTGGGAAGGTCATGAATTGGAGTTGAAAATCTATCTGAACATGAGATTTACTTTCTAGAATTTCTGTGCTACTGCTACTGGGAGAAACTGGATCAGAAGCATAGGTATAGGTTTTAAATAGCGTTCATATATTAGCTCCTTTTACTACAAATGAATGTGACATTTTTCTATTAAAGAAATTCTGCTTTACAAAAATTCAAACTCACTAATAACAATTGGTGAAAATTTTTAAAATGGGTGTAATAACTTATATAACAATGAATTTTTGCTTCATCAAAGGGGTTCTGTTAAATATCCAGTTTCTCAGAAATGTTTAAAATATTTATAGCTTTTGAGAAAGCATATCACACTTTTTGCTTCTGTTGTAAAATGAGTGTGTGAATAAAGTCGTGTGTATTTTAAAATTTTTTTATTTTGTAGGAAGACTTTTTCTTGGGGTATTAAAATGACTGTATTTGCAATGATTATTGGAGCCTTTGTAGCTGCCAGGTAAGATGTGGGCCTATGAATAGCACATTATAAAATATCAATAATTATTGATAATAAATGATTACTTATCAATAACAATTTTTTTATAGCCTATATAAGAATTGTATCTTTGAAAAGCGTATCAGTCTCTTGAAAAGGTTAAGTCTTTTTGACTGTATTAGGATAAAGGTTGACAAAAATAAGATTCTTGGGATTGTTAAAAGTTAAATTGATGTAATTTAGAATTTGTTACTGTTGTTTTGCTGGGCACATAGCATGTGCCACACAATATGTTTGACATTTTACACATCTTATTATGTATTCTTCACAACACCTCAGACAGGTATGGGTATAATTGTCTTATTTTATAGTTGAAGAAACTAAAAAGTTCAGTAACTTGCTTAAGGTCACAGAGCTAATGGCAGAGCTGAAATTTGAATCTGTGGCTTTCTTCAGAGCCTGTGTGTTTTTATAAACCATGTGGCATTTCTTAATTTTGCATGCTGCTAAAATTTTGCATGCTGCTAAAGAAAAGCATGTCTCCTTTTCTGTGAGGTGAGGAAAATGACTATGAAACATTTGCTTTCCTTTTCAAATAATGAATAATAGCATTGCTTTAATTGGCCTCACATAAGCTATATCACAAATGCCGTAACTTAGATATTCTATTAGGTTATTAAAGCTTTTTCCATTTTTCTTAAGTTTTAGTTTTAAAATACATTAGGAAAATGTATACCCACAGACCGAGAAAATTATAATGATTGCTAGAAGTCTTCTACAACATTTTAATCAGCCCAGGGCGTGCATGTATGTATTTGCTAATGCCACACATTCTGCCAGATGTATGTTTTCCATCAAAGAGTTCCAGTGTACTTCATGGATTGACTCATTTACCTTCATCACATTCCCGTAGTATAGGTGGAAGAAAATATTATCAGTCCGGTCCTATTTTACAAGTTCAATCTCCAAGTAAAATTTCATTCTAAAAAAAAAGAGGGTGGCATAATTGGTTACTGGAAATTGGCTGTATAGCTAACTGCTTTTCCTTCTATGTCATATTCCCTCCTTGGAGAAAAAGTCTATACTAGCCTCCTACCTTTCGTTTTAGAGATGCCCTGCTGGTCTTGGAAACATTTCCTTGAAGCTGATGGGATCCAAAATTGTACCAAACAACAGGGGTTCCTCGGGGCTTTCTTGGGTCTACAAAAAACTTCTGAAAAGGATTACTGTCTGGATCAGCCTTATCTAGTTAGACCCTTTAACTTGGAAAAAGATTGATAGGAAGGGAACTCAGACCTCTGAAGTCAGTTAGAAGATTGTTAGAGACTGCTTGGGGTAGGAAGTGTGCATTAAGTTAGGCCTGCCTAAAACGCAGTGGCATAGAACTCATTAGAAGTCTTGGTTCCTATGCAGTATCTCTGCAAAATCATAGTCTGTGGAGCCACTATTTTAGCTAGGGTGCTGAAGTATGCTGAAGGCATACCTTTGTCAGATTTTCATTTATTCTGTTTAATTTACTAAATTCTTTTTTTTTTCTTTTTTTTTTTTTTGAGACGGAGTCTTGCTCTGTCGCCCAGGCTGGAGTGCAGTGGCTGGATCTCAGCTCACTGCAAGCTCCACCTCCAGGGTTTACACCATTCTCCTGCCTCAGCCTCCCGAGTAGCTGGGACTACAGGCGCCCGCCACCTCGCCCGGCTAGTTTTTTGTATTTTTTAGTAGAGACGGGGTTTCACCATGTTAGCCAGGATGGTCTCGATCTCCTGACCTCATGATCTGCCCATCTCGGCCTCCCAAAGTGCTGTAATTTACTAAATTCTTATCTGGTGCCTGGTACTCTAAGTTCCAGAAATTTTTGGTTTCCGTAAACTCCCAAGTTGTACTTCACAGGTTCATTGAGCAATTATTTAAGTATTTGAGTTCCTGCTATGTGCTTAGACATTGTTCTAGCTTGATCTCAGAGCTAACAATGATCCACACTTCAGAAATTCCACCCGGGGCCCAACTACCTATGCAAGATTGTCCTGCCTTTTGTGTGGACCTTCAGAAAATGACTTGTTAACATCCTGTCCTTTTGGTTTTCTTGTCTATGAAATTGAGCTCTCCCTGCTTCTGCCTGCTTCACAGATGTACTTAATGGTAATTTGGTGCTTGTCATCTGGCTTTGAATGCAGAGCCGTGTGCTATTAAATGACATGATTGAGTGTTGCTAACTATGTGTTTGAATGTTAGTGCCTCTTATTTCTGAGGAATCCCTTATTGAGGAGAAACTGCAAACTGTGACCAGAAATCAAGAAATACCAGTAGCTGATAAAATGCCTATATTCACTTCCCTAGATGAGAATATGTTCTTGTAAATGTTTTAGCTCATATCTATTTAAAATTAAATGCATGTTCTTTAAAGTAAGTTGTTCTTAAAGTGTTGCTTATGTTTTGCAGCTCTGACTTGGCATTTGATCTGGAAGGATATGTTTTTATTCTGATAAACGATGTCCTGACAGCAGCAAATGGTGCATATGTAAAACAAAAATTAGATTCAAAAGTAAGTAGCAATCTAAAGCTTCTTTAACAGATGTGTACTGATGTTGGGAATGTCAGTTCATCGGAGAAAAAGTGTTCTTTTCTCCTCGTAAGTGTACTTTTCTCCTGGTAAGAAAGTACTTACCAGGGATGAGAAAGACATAGTCGTTCTGTGAGGGTAAAATTCCTGTACTTTGGTGTTCATAGAAGAAACTTTATTTTTTAATTAATTAGCAATTAGCTTTTAGTCCAGGCTTTTCTGGGATTGTGTGAATTTTGACTTCGTGTGGGGTAGGAAAGGTAAAGCGTGTTCACTGAAGTGTCTTTAAATGTTCATGGCTGTATTCTAGAGGACTTTCCGGGGATCTGGGAGGCAGAAAGAGAACTACCTGGAAACCTTTGGGCAGACTTGAAGGGAAATGAGTGTTGGAAGGGGCTGCAAAACAAAAATGGCCTTTATGTATTTGCCCTATAAATAATGGGAAATTTTAGGGAGCATTTGGATCTCTGTCTCTCTCAGGGGCAACACTGTGTTTCCTGGCCTTGGCTTTACCGGATATTGTTTGTTGTTTACTATATACTTTAAAAATGTTATTTTTAGATGAAGCCAGATTATTAGAAAGCTGAGTATTTGAATCATATTGTTTTTGCAACATTATGTTATGAGATTACATTACTGTAAGAAACAACTAAATGGACCTCAACTTTATATATCCTAGGGTTGCTAATTGAAGGAATTGTCCTTGATATCATAATGTATCCTATATGAGGACCCATATGAGATGCTTATCTTAGATGTCACCATAGTTTTTCCTGAGCAGCTGGTACATTTTTATCTCATAATTACTTCTTGTAACTGACTATGACTTTATCTTATTTTCCTATCCATGTTTTCTCTTTAACGGCTTAGTTTTTAGTCTTTTCTATTATATGTACAATATTTCTGAAACTACTTAAGCTCCTTTTTGGGAGCTTAGATAATAAATAAATACAAGTGTCCTACCTGCTTGATAGTACTATTAGTACTTTGAATTGACCTTGCCTTGGCCAGGGACTTTGCCTGCTCCTCTAGAAAAGAAGTATAGATTGAATGTCTATCCCAGTAGTTTTCATTATTTTGCAGATAGATAGTTGTTTTTTTTTTTTTTTTTTTTTTTTTTGGAATAGCCTCAAAGAACCAAGGACAGTGTTGATTTGTTTCCAACCCATTTTCTTTAAATATGCATGTCTTGGCCTCCATTTATTTGCTTTGATGAATCTATATGATGGTTGCATTTTAATGGAAGCTACTAGTAAGAATTTTTATCTTTTTAAAATAGCTGGAGAAAAGGTAGCAGTTAGTGATTGGTCTTACTCTTTTCTTCAGCCCATTTGCTACTTTGGAAAATAGATACTATTAATGACATTTTATTTGTCCAGTAGCTTCAGCTGTCTGAAACAGCACTGTTCAATAGAATTTTCTGTGACATCGGAAATTTGTATTTCTGTGTTCCATTAACTGGTCATTAGCCATGCATGGCCCTTGAGCACTTGAAAATAACTGAGAAACTGAAATCAGTAGTTTTACGTGATTGTAATTAAACTGAAATAGCTACTTGTGGCCAGTGGCTACCATATTAGTACAATCTATAGTACATCCTAGAACCTAGAAAAAAAAACCAAGAACGTTTCTGAGTATTTTATTCCTAGGAGAGCCCTTCAGTTTCTCACTTAGAAATGACTATGACTTATTTGTAGTAGAACTTTTAAGTTCATTGATTAGTTCTCCTAGCTCATATCTTGCAAGCAACAAACTAGAAGGTAGAATTCTATTTAGAGGCAGAGACGTTTACCAGCAGTATAAAAGGTCAGCCAACAAGAGAAACAGTCGGATTATAAAAGACAGAAATACTGAAGAAGAAAAAAAGATGTAGGGTCTATTAAACAGCTGTAAGGGCAACACTGAATAAGAACATACTACATAAACATAATAATACAGATTTTTGATGCATAACTGTGTCATAAGACATAATAATACATGTTTATGATGATGCCCTAAATCTCGTTTTAGTCAGTGTACTTTATTTAAGGAGGCAGGGAGAATGACATTCAAAACAGTTAAAATGCATAAAGAAAAACAGAAGTTTTGGCATTTAGGTTTTTGCTATTTGTCAGTTACTGGATGGTGTGTATCTGTGTGTATGTGTGTCTCCATGCACATCCTGTACTTCCTGGATAACACTCATGCCTCTGGCTGACTGGGCACCCTTCTTAAAGGTTGTTCCAGTATGACTTTCTTTTTGCTGCCGTACACATGAGGCACACCTTTACACTGATACTTGTGGTGACCATAAGCAGTCAGTTACTTGGTTTATCCCAGAGGCAGTAAGGCAGTACGGCCATGCTGAGGTGCTTTTTTAAACATCAGGAGTTTTCTTGTTTTGTTTTGTTTTTAGGAGTAAAGAAACAAAAGAATGGCTACTCCATAGGCAGGGCAGCCAATCAGGAGTTTTGTTACTGATAATATCAGGACTGCTTACAATCATAGGCCATTGAGTATTAGTCATATGGCATAAAGATTTTGTGCTGCATTTTAGACCTGAATGTAGCTATCGAATTTAAAACTTAACTTTATAATACTACTTAAAATAATGCATGTTTATGATAGAAGTAGTAGAAAACGTGGATAAACAAAAGGAAGAAAACATAAATCTCCCTTAATACTATCATCGAGTGAGAAGCACTGTTTTGGTGGATATCCTTTATTTTGTGTGTATGTGTGTGCACATTTATCTATATGTTAAAATTTTAAGCAAAGGAGGGATGATACATTTTCTTTTTTTTTTTGAGACGAAGTCTCGCTCTGTCGCCCAGGCTGGAGTGCAGTGGCTGGATCTGAGCTCACTGCAAGCTCCGCCTCCCGGGTTCACGCCATTCTCCTGCCTCAGCCTCCCGGGTAGCTGGGACTACAGGCGCCCGCCACCATGCCTGGCTAATTTTTTTTGTATTTTTATTAGAGAAGGGGTTTCACCATGTTAGCCAGGATGGTCCCGATCTCCTGACCTCGTGATCCGCCTGTCTTGCGGCCTCCCAAAGTGCTGGGATTACAGGCGTGAGCCACCGTGCCTGGCCCATTTTCTAACTTGTATTTTTCACTTAGTACCATTTCTTAAACACCTTTCTATGTCAGTCAGCATCATTAAACATTTTTAGTGGCTGTGTTATGTTTTATTGTACAGCTGTGTTATAGTCTAGTCATCTAATCAGCTAGTTTTCCTTTTTTTTGGGGGGGATGGAGTCTCATTCTGTCGCCCAGCCTGGAGTGCAGTGGCACAGTCTTAGCTCAATGCAACCTCTGTCTCCTGGGTTCAAGTGATTCTTGTGCCTCAGCCTCTTGAATAGCTGGGATTACAGGTGTCCACCACCAGACCAGTCTTAAGTTTTGTATTTTTAGTAGAGACGGGGTTTCTCTATGTTGGCCAGGCTGGTCTCAAATTCCTGACCTCAGGTGATCGCCTGTCTCGGCCTCCCCAAATGCTGGGATGACAGGCATGAGCCACTGCACCCAGACTAATCAGCTAGTTTTCTATTGTTGGGTATTTATTTCCAATTTTTCAGTGTTGCTTTTGAGAAGGCAGTTCAACTTTTCTCATCAGTCAGTAATCTTTCAATCACAGGAGTTAGGCAAGTGCTATGTCCCCATCCTTACCACTCCCTCACTGTCCCCCCTTCCCACCTCTCAAACCCTGGTCCGCATTTTCAGGAGACTGTTTCATGCTAAATGTTCCATAAGTGTGTGAATCAAAGGTGGACTCAGAGTTCTTATAGGCTCCCTGTGTTTGAAGATGGGTGTTGTCCTTTGTTGCTCCCTAGTAGTTAAGAACCCAATGAGTCATACTGTGTTCTGGGAGTTGTAGTTATAGTAATCTTAATCTTCATTGTACTTCATGTGCACATTTTCAGAAATACTTCACTGAGAAGTACTGTCCATTGTTATTGGTCTAGGCCTGAGTCTGTGTGTCTGAATCTGGCCATCTTTTTTTGTTTGCTTGCTTTGTGCTTTTTGTTTGTTTTGTTTTTGAGCTAGGGTCTTGCTCTGTTGCACAAGTTGGAATGCAGTGGCATAATCAGAGCTCACTGCAGCCTCCCTCGGATTCCTGGGTTCAAGGAGTCCTCCCACCTCAGTCTCCTGAGTAGCTGGGACTACAGGTGCATACCACCATTCCTGGCTAATTTTTTTTTTTTTTTTTTAAATTTAAGATAGGTTTTTGCTCTGTTAACCAGGCTGGAGTATAGTGGTACGATCTCGATCTTGGCTCACTGCAGCCTTGAACTCCCAGGCTTAAGTAATCCACCCACATCAGCCTCCTCAGTAGCTGGGATTTAACAGGCACGTGCCACCATGCTTGGCTAGGTTTTTTTTTTTTTTTTTTGAGATGGAATCTCACTCTGTCATCCAGGCTGAAGTGCAATGGCGTGATCTTGGCTCACTGCACCTCCACCTCACAGGTTCAAGCGAGTCTCCTGCCTCAGCCTCCCTAGCAGCTGGGACTACAGGCACCCGCCATCATGCCCGGCTAATTTTTGTATTTTTGTAGAGATGGTTTCACTATGTTTGCCAGGCTGGTCTTGAACTCTGACCTCAAGTGATCTCCCTGCCTCAGTCTCCCAAAGTGCTGGGATTACAGGCGTGAGCCACTGCGCCCGGCCGTTTTTGTATTTTTTGTAGAGACAGTGTTTCACCATGTTGCCCATGTTGGTCTTGAACTCCTGGGCTCAAGCAGTGTATCTGCCTCAGCCTCCCAAAGTGCTGAGTGTACAGGTGTGATGAGCCACCATGTCCAGCTTCATCCATCTTTCTTAAATGACACTGTGCTAGGCTTCTAAAAAGCCCAAGACATACTCAGTGGCTCTTGATTCAGTTCTGGAAAGAGAATGGATTCAGAGGGATGTTTCGATATTGGTGTGTGTGTGTCTGTGTGTGTGTGTGTGTGTGTTCAAAATAACCTCTTTTCTCCTAGCTATTTTGAGGCAGTCAGTTGTCATTTTTCTTTCTCTGACCTTAAGCACTTGAGGAATTTATTTCAAGTAAGTATAAAATTTTGTAAGGTGCTTTTTTTGGTCTTGAAAGTTTAGGTTATTTCTTAATGTTTGCAAAACTTCTAACTTAATTCATTTGCTGTGTATGTTGTAGGGGAGGGTGTGTGTGTGTGTGTATGTATGTGTAGTTTGAGTGGTATTTTGTACAGTGTTGTATCTGCTAGAACCAAATGCAGATGAAACACCTAATTATTTACTGTCCTAGGAGCTGGGAAAATATGGACTGCTCTATTACAATGCACTGTTCATGATTCTGCCCACCCTGGCCATTGCGTATTTCACAGGAGATGCACAAAAGGTAGGATTTTCTAATTATGGCTTAATGGTTTATGCTGATGAACTGCATTATTTATGATGAAAAGATAGACTTTGTTGTTCAAAAGAAATATGCTTATTAAGTGACCGAAAACTGAGCATTTACTCTTTAAATTGCTGATGTCATGCTAACCTCTTTTCTTGGCGTAAACATTGGATAGTACTAAGATGACTCAAAATAGCTCTGCTGTCAACATAAAAATAGTGCTTGCCAGCTAGTGTCCTTTTCTTACATGCCAGAAGGATAGAGGAAGGGAATTTTTACATTTCTGCTAAACTGTAAAATAGGAATAGCAGTAAACTATCCTTGAGAAACAAAAATCTTGAAATAGTAAAATTCTCCAAATCCTAAACAAAATGCTAGGCATTGCTAGAGGTTTTCAGTTTTAGTGTACAATTGTCATCCTGGTTTAACTCCTAACTTGTTTTTTTTTTCCTTCAGGATATATTTAGCATTGTTTGGCGACTTAACCATATAAAGAACAACCAATATAGTATTTACCAATTTTCTGCAAATGTCTAGCTAAATAAATACAGAATAGAGTAGTAAAATAAATCTGGAGAAGAATTTTTCTCTAAAACAAGCCCATATAGGAGACAAATTGATAACATATTGTTAGAATTCACAACATTCTGCAAACTAAATGGAAATCCAGAATTATGGCAAGGATTCTGTACCAAGATTCCTTCTAATGATTCCTCTGGCTAGTAACTTCTTCAGAATAAGTTTGTTGGTCATTTACTCTAAAGACAGTGATGATTTTTACAAATTTGCGGGAGCTAAAATAAAAGAGATTTTAAAAAGCAGTTGGACTATTAAATTGTTCTTGAACCAAAGGCAGGAGACTGACAGCTTATGAAGCTGTTCCCCTCTGCCCCCACTGTCATACCTCTTTCTTTTAAAGAACTGGTACAGGTCATCTTGAATATATGTGTAAATGTTTTAATGAACTGTGACCTACCTGCCAGCAGGCCTAAAAATGACACCAAAGTAGGAAACAGTTATTTCTCTAATAAAGAGTATTGAGTAAGTATTTTGTGGCTGTGAAAAAAAGTGGTACAAGAAACTAACATTTATTGAATCCCTATTATGTGTTAGTCACTTTATATATTTAACATAATGTAGTTTTTATAACAGTCAAGAAAGTTTTAATTATACCTATTTTACTAATGTGGAAGGAGAGGTTCAGAGAGACTAAGAAACTTGTCCAGTGTCATGCTATTGGGAAATAGTGGAGTCAAGATTAAACCCAAGCCTGACTCCAAAGGCTGTGGGCTTTGGAGCAGACTAGTGACTAATAGAAGCACCCCTCACTCTCCAGCTTTGGGACGAGAATATGGTGTGATATATGGTTCTAAATCTTGAGGCCAATCTGAGAAAGTTGGAAGAATTAATTTGCTTAGGGAACGTATAAAGTTTCTTTTAGCAGACATTGAACCAAATGGACTAAGAGAGAAATTTGTATGGCCCTTTGGAGGGAGAGTAATCTAGGTCAAGGAAGAGCAGGTTCCAAGTCCTGAAGTGAGAGTGCTTAGCATTTTTTAAATGGGCAAATACCAGGAAAAGTCAAAGTGGGCCTTGAAAAATGTGGAGGAAGAGAAACAAAAGGTACATTCCAGGTAGAACTAACAGCATGAGCACAGGCACAACTGCAAAGACCAGACTCTTCAAATTAGAAGGTAGAAGTCAAAGACCTTGGAAACATTAGCAGAGACTTTAGAGAATGTCTGGTTTGAGCCTCTTATTTCATAGATGGGGAAACTGTACCCCAGAGAGGACTAGAACCTAGATTGTTTAAGCAGGTGCTATTACTATTCCCACCATACCACACCCTGATTCCTTCTAAATTAGGACCAGTGCTAGACACAAGAATTTGACAGTTACTTTGCAGGTAGTGACAAGTCCTTACAAGTTTGTGACAAAGGGCTGGGTGTGGTGGCTCCCACCTATAATCCTAGCCCTTGGGGAGGTGGGCAGATTGCTTGAGCCCAGGAGTTCAAGACCAACCTGGGCAACATGGCAAAACCCCATCTCTACAAAAAGTTCCAAAAAAATTAGCACACATGGTCGGGCATGTCTGTAGTCCCAGCTACTGGGGAGGCTGAGGTGGGAGGATCACTTGAGCCCAGGAGGCTGAGGCTGCAGTGAGCCATGATTGTGCCACTGCACTCCAGCCTGGGTGACAAAGCAAGGCCGTGTCTCAAAAAAAAAAAAAAAAAAAAAAATTGTGATGTAAGTGGTACAGTGGGGAGAATTTAGGACTCTCAGAATGCAGAAAACTAGCTACCTCTAGTTCTATGCCTGACCACCATCTGACTTTGGATAAGTACCTTCTGCTCTCCCATTTATCTTTATCATGTGTAAAATGAGTCTCTAGGTACAGCCCTTTCTGGGGTTGAGACAGAGTTTCTGAGGAGTACAAGCCATGGCGTTGTGGAAACAGGCAGCTATTCTCACAGTACTTATCTAGTACTCCCCGATAATCAGTGCTGATAAACTGCTCTCATTTGTTGGACTGCAGACTTTCCTGACCCACTTTGAATGGGGGCCACTTTGAATGGAAACTTTCTATGTATTGAATGAAGAGATTTCCAAGATGAATGGTTAAATGAAAAAGCACAGTGCAAAATGGTGCATATGGTATCCTACCTTTTGGGTAAAATAAGAAGGAAAATAAGAATACCTGCCCCCCCCCCCACACACACACAATTTTTTCACTTATTTAAATAAAGAAACTCTGGAAAAATATACATGAAACTGATAAATAATTTTTGTGCATATTGTATGAACAGGGTAAGTAGAACAGGAATGGCAGGGAGACTTCTCAAACTATTCATCTTTCTATATTTTTTTGATTATAGGATCATGTAAATGTATTTAAAAACTATATCAAAGGAACAATAAGGAAAAGATAGTTTTTCTGTAAATGACTACTATCCTGTGATTAACCCTAAATTTGAAAATAACTGGGGACATGGAACAAGTCAGTTTGTTATCATCCGAAGTTGCAGACTCTTGACCCACATTGCAAATTGAAGCAAAATCGATGCAAATTATTCTGAAAGTCTCACTGTTAAATTTAGTAGGCAGAATTTAACTTTGTTAGGACAAGAATCCAACAAAGGGGCTCTGAAAGGTCAGCTCCCCAGAGAGGCAGGAGTTGAATACAGCAGTTGATGGGTTGATATAGGCTTTAAGCAAGAATTGGAGGACAAGGATGAAAAAAATGAAATTATAATACCATAAAAATTTAAAGGAAAGTTCCAGTTGAAAAACTCATCCCAGTGAGCACATAATGCAAGGTCTTACAAAGCATTTTGAGAAACCTAACTTGTGTGTGTGTGTATGTATGTATATGTATGTATATACATATTTAAAGTTTATTCAAGGTTCTCAAAGTTCTGGGTTTACCAGAAACCAAGGAACAAATAAATATATTCAGCACTTAGTTTTTAAAACATGTATCTTCTAACTTTAAAACATTTTTTAAAACTATGCCTCTGCAAAAACGAGCTTACTGTTAATAAAAGATACCTAGTTAACAAAGATAAAGGCAGAGTAGACATCACTTGACCAATGACTTTCCAAAGCATCAGTACAGATTGTGTTTAAACTTACTAATTGCTTCCTCCAGATGGGAATTTTTTTAGTACAAAGCCAGTGATTCAGTCACAGGAGTTGGAGCTTGACTTTCTGGCAGCACACCCCGCTAGGTGTTCTCACATAGGGATGGAAGAACAGACCCCTTGCTGTAGATCTCAAAAGGCTAGTTCTGTGGTATGCTGTATAATGTCTCCATTATATCACTGGCTAAATTACATGGTTTAGGGGAGTTATAGGAAAAGTTGCTGCACAAATTGTCTGCCTGGAGGTGTCTCATATTAAGCATTGCTGACTAAATAATGAAGTAATTTCAGGCTGTTGAGTTAGCCTGTTTAGAGTTATTCATCTTTTCTGGATTGCTCTGTGGAGCATACAGATTGATTTTCAGACTCTGAATTATTCTCACCACATACAGACAGATTTCTTCTGTTTTCTGGGCCTTGGTGTTCCCATATGTAAAACAGGTGGGTTGGATCAATTATTCTTTAGTTATGAATGAGTAGATCTTTCTCTTTGCCTGTATATTATTTGACTGATACTGTTCTCTTTTTAACCATTCTTACCTCTGAGATATCTCTTTTTAAATAAGAGCATGTGACCTACTTGGCAAGCTGGAATATGTAGTTTTGACATGATATGTAGGTTTTATTTTATATAGGTGGCACCACTAACATTATCTTCTTTCTGCCTTAGCAAGTTTCCTAACAGTTTACTTTCAGATAAGGATTCAATTTTTTTCTCAGTAATTTTTCAGGGAAAGAATTTTCAGAATAGAATATCATTTATTAATCTTTTTTCTTTACCATGACGTGCAAACTCTGGTTTATTTTTAGACTTAATAGTAAACAGAGATGTATTAAAACACTAAGAAAATATCTGTCACACTTTGGATTTTAGTTCAGATTTCAAATGATTTAATGACTCTGCTTAGCAAATTTCCAGGACGTGGGGATTGGTTGCCTCAAGTGGACCTTGAAACTTTTCCATACTTCTAAGTAGACTAGGGTTGGTAAATTATAAATTGGTACTAAGTTATCCTGTGCTCATTGTAGATATTACCAAGTAGTCACAGCACTTTCTTGCTAGCTTACACATAGCCTAAGACTGTTTACCAAGACAGGAGTCTAGACAGCCAGAATCAATGGATCACAGCTGGTACAAAAGACAAAATCTGATTGCATCCCTGGACTAGAGTTTAGCCTTGGTACTGATTGTGTAGTTTTTGTGCTAATCTTACTCAGATACTCCCTTTCTCTCTTAATTTCCTTAACCTGGGCAACAAAAAAACCAAATTTTTAACATTAAAAATTTTTTCAAATATTTTTATTTAGCTAAAAGTTTTAAACAAAATGTCTAGTTATACGCTGTAACTGTGGTAT